CCCGCACGCCCGGCTCGCCCCGCCCCGGAAGTGACGCCACGCGCGGACCCTTGAAAAGGCGATGCCGGCCGCTGGGCGCGTCAGAACCTCGCGGGGGGCGCGTGGGAGCTGGCTGGCTGCGGGCTGGCTGCTGGGAGGAAGCGGGAAGGGAAGGGAATGGGCGTCTCGTCGCGGAGCTGGGGTCGGGGGGCCGGCGTGCCGGGTGCCCCCGGGCTCTGCGCTTTCGCTTTCAAAGCCTGACGGGCTGCAGCAGCCCTTTCCGGGTGGGAAAAGCTGTTAACGGGAACTCCAGGGACGTGGCCTGGGCTGGAGCCGAAACTTCTCAGAATTTCTCTTAGAACGCTACGAGGGAGGGTGGGAAGTGGGCTTTGAGGAAACCAGGCTTTCTAAACCCTAAGAGGAAAGGGAACTGGGGTGGGGCTCTCACTTCTCAGGGCTGTGGTGAGCTTTTTCTTCAGGCGACAGTGGAGCCAAGTACAGCCCCTGTGGGTGCTTTAGGGGCCTGAAACCTAAGTGGGGTGAACCTGGCTTTGTTTCTCTCTAACCTAAACCTCTCTGCTGCTGTCTCTCAAAGCTGGCGGCGGGGGCTCACTTCTTGCCTGTCCCGCCCTTTGGCTCCCCAGGGCTATGGCGGGGTCACCGGTCCATCACCGGCTCCATCCGGCTGCAAGCCTTCTCCAAGCCTGTCTGTCAAGCCTCCGCAGTCTGTCTATTCCTACTAAACTCCTTAAAACTGAACTACTAGTCTGGCTAGAAGCCAGAGCCCTGAAAGCGACCTACTGTGCCTCTGTAGGTCTCGGGATAAAGGGAGCCTCTATCACTTTTTTTCTGGCTTCCGGCAGCCTCTGGGGTGTTGCTGGCCCAGAGCTTCTGCGCTCAGGTGTTCTGAGTCGGCTACTCTCGCCACCTTAAACTAATTTCCAGTCTTTGCAAGCCTCCTCGTAACACCCTACCCCCACTTCTCACAAACTCCTTAAAACTGAACTAGTCTGGGTATAAGCCAGAGCCCTAAAAGCGACCTGCTGTGCCTCAGTGGAGGTCTCGGGATAAAGGGAGCCTCTATCACTTTCTCTGGCTTCCAGAAGCCTCTTCGGGTGTTGCTGGCCCAGAGCTCCTGCGCTCAGGTGTTCTGAGTCAGCTTAAACTACTTTCCAGTCTTTGCAAGCCCCCTCGTAATACCCTACCCCCGCTTCTCACTCTAAAAACTATGATAGATGGTAAACTCGAAACTGGATAACCCCACACCCCGTATGCTGCCTCAATCAAGGAACCACGTGTGAAGCCCGTTTGGTGACCCAGAGGCCGAGGCCAGAGCGTGTACTGGCGTGGTCACGGCTGTAATTGGCTCCGAGGAACCAGCGTGTAATCACGAGCAGTTAATGGGGCTGGGATTGAGGACAGGTGCGGCAATTTAGGGTTCACCCCTAGGGCAAAGACCAGGGCATGGGAGTGAGGCTAAGGTACCTTCCAGCACTGGCAAGCTGCTAACTGTGCCTGTAAAGCCGTGCCGAGCTTCCACCTCTAATAAAAGGGACCATAAAACTAAACCCGAACACTGCTCTGGCAGGACGCTACCTTCCTTATTTTTGGCTAAAGAGGGAATTGTTGGTCTGAAAGCTTGGGTGCAGGTGGTTGCCGCTGCCTTGCTAAAAGCTGCTGCTCTGAGGGGGTGGGTGGGGCGGAGCTGTAAGGGGACTTCTCTGGGTGTGTGGCTTTCTCCTATTAGAGGCTCAGTAACACTTCAGGGCATCAGAGCTGTGCTTCCAGCACTTGGCTCTGGGGGCTCCTTCCCACCCAGGCCTTTGTTCCTACACCCTCTAAGGGGTACGGGAGTTTCCAGCAGGCCTTGAAACCAGCCTAGACGCCCCTGACCTCACTTCTGTAACTCGGCATCTGTGGTGTCTCGCCCTATCAAAGAAAAACCCTCGAGACCAAACACCTCCCCTGCGCTCTGCAGGGTGGGGGGGCACCCGAGAAAAAGGGTATCCTGGGACCTAGCAACCCTCAGCGACCTGCACCCCCACCTCCGCCGCTGCCCGAGCAGCACCCTCCCTGCGTCCACATCCGCGCCCCCCCCCCCAAAGCCTCACTTCAGGAACAGACCCTGCCACAAACTGTTTCCTCAGCTGGGCTGCCTCAACCACCTCCCTCAGGCCCTCCGTGGCAGCCAGGGGAACCTCAGAAACCCTGTGAGCGCCTCTTCAACCAGGGCCCTCCCCCACCTGTGAGACTGAGGCAAGGGGAGCTGCCTCTCCAGAGTTCTGGCCCTTGTGTTGGGGTGCCCCAGGCCCCTCTGGTTCTGTTGGCACCCCAGGTGCTGTGCAGAGGCGGCTTCTGAGCCCCCCTTGCCCCCCCACCCCAGGGTACCTAACCAGAGGCACGAAGGTGGGCTGGGCGGGGCTGGATGGCGCACGCGGCTGCTAAGGAGAGCCCCAGCCTCAGCTGGCTGCAGAGGCTCTGGCGTCAGGCTCAGCTGCTACCTGGGGCGACTCTGACGGACCTTGTAGCGTTAGTGCTTCTGGACCTAGGGCCCTGCCACGCAAAGGCAAAAAGCAGCCGATCCCAGGCATAGGGATACAGAAAAAGCATCCTTAAGGTCCAGTACTGACCACCCGAAGTTACCGGTATGGCAGTTAACAGGGAGTAAGGATTGGGCACAGGGGCGCGGGGCGGGGCCCTCTCAGAAATCACCGCTGGATAATCCTCGCATCGACACCTAGCAGAGAACTGTGCTCAGGTGCGAGTCCTTAGCTCCAGCCCCCTGTGTGGTGTTTCTCGGGGTCCTTGCTTGGCTGCTCAACTGAAAACAGGTGGGGCTGGAGAGGCTCGGCCAGGGCCTGGCCAAGGACGCCGCCCGGATAGCACGTGGCTAGCACCCACCTAGCGCCCACCTGGGCGTGCACGGGATAAGCCCAGCTAAAGCCCTAGAAACTAAGGCTGGGGTGAGGAAAACCTGTGCTGCCCAGACAGGGCTTTCTCAGTCATCACGCGTGGCCGCCTCCCCTCCCCCTCCAGAGCTCCCCTGACTGGGCGCCCTCAGGCACCAGTGAAGACCCATAGCCAGCGGGGTGCCAGGGGTCAGGCAGCCAAACCCCGACTCTGGGTCTGCACATGCTGAGTGTCCTCAGCCCACCCTACTGAACTGATCTTCCAGACTGGCTCTCCGGGGGGCTGGAATGTTCCAGAAACCCACCCAGACCGCTGTGCTGCCTCTGCGGCGTCACCGGCATCTTCCAAGCCGTTTCTCTGCATTCGGTGCTCTCCGCCTGCCGCTCTGAGACACGAGCCAGGGGCTCGTCAGCCAGCACACGGGAAACAAGCAGGCATCTTTCTGCGGAGGGGGCTCGTGGCCCTCTGCTGCCGTGGGGGGCACGCTGGTCGGCTGGCAACCCCGTGTTCATATGAGGGGGCCCCAGGGGTTCAGCCTGCTGGTCTCGACAGGTCCCATGTGCTCAGGTGGCCCCCCAAAGCGGGGGCGACACAGCCTCGGGTGCTCCCCACGGTCGTGCGCCTGACTTCGGCCTCACTGGCGGGGCCCTGGGGTATCTGCAGCTCTGAGCGCAGTTCAGAGCAGTAAGTAATGCTCGGTTTCCCTGGGCCTGCACGATACAAACAACTGACCTGGAAGCCGCAACTCGGGCGAAGGCCCCGTGCGCTCGAGGCCGAGTCCAGAGCGGCCTGTGAGCTGGGTGATGAGGGAGCGGTCAGCTGTTCTTGCGGCTGGGTCGTTCATAACAGAGCTGCGACTGAAGCTTGGTGTTGGCAAACCCAGCCCGGCTAGGGGAAATACTGGCTGCAGAGGTGGTCGTCCCTGCGACCAGCAAAGTCACTGATGCTCAGCCGGCTGGGTGCGGGTGTGCCCGAGGGGATTCTGCATGGCGGCAGCCCCTTCCCTCATCTGCCCAGGACCACGGCTCGTCTACTTGGCCGGTCTGCTGGCTCCTGGCATCTGCCCGGCGTTTACCCTTTCGGGGATTACGAGTTCCTAGCTTCAGGCCCACAATCCAAGAGTGCACAGACTGACGTTGAGCCCTTCCGGGGAATCGAGCTGCTCCCCTCACCCCTAGACCTGTCCCGGCACCCCTCGGCCAGGTCCCCATCCGCAGCCCATGCAGGGAGCGGCGCCAACCCTGGGCCTGGGTGCCGGCGTGTGCTCGCGGGCCTGCTGGCCGCGGCATCGTGGTTCCCAGGCTGTTTAGTTGACCCGAAGGTGGTCTAGCTCCTTGTCTGCAAACCGAGCTACATCATCGGGGTGTGGACCAAGCCCCAGGCGCTGCCTTGACTTCTGTGATGGAAACTCAAGGATACTGGGGGGAGGGTCAAGGGAGAAGAGTGGAAGCCGCCCTCTGCCTGGCCGCTGTGCTGTGTCCTCCCTCGCTCCTGGCACCAGTGCCCTTCATGGGGTCTCTGGCCTTGCAGTGCCCTGCAGAGAACACCCCGCTCGGGGCCTGCGCTCACCGGTCACTGTGCCTGTGCTGGATGGAGCCAGGCCCGAGCCCAACCTGCCCCTCAGCCCTCAGGTGACAGAGGTGGTAGTGTGAGGGACACATAACCCCATAGCCTGTGGAGAGCAGACTGACTTGTCAAAACTCACAGGAGCTGTGCTAGGGCTCCCTGTCAGGCCAAAGAGGGCACTGCCCGGTGTGGCCAGGGCCGCCGGGGGCCGCCAGGCACCTGCAGCGCTGTGGATTTACAACAGCTCCAGCAACGAAGGCGGCTTTGCCAGGAGTCGTCTCTGCAGGGCTCTCACAGGGTTCGGGGTTTGGCCCAGAGGGCCTTCGTGGGGGCCCAAGCCCCGGGACCCGCACAGCTCACTTGCTGGGCCTGCTCCAGGGAAACCGGTCACGCCGTGGGATCCCGTCCCTGACCAGACGGGCACGGCCTGCTCAGCCAGGGAGTCTGAAAAGGCTGGTGGCGCATCTGCCGGGCACACATGGCCCCCCAGCCCCCAAAGTCTTGAACTGCCTCTGGCGCTGCTCTGTAAGGACCACCCTCAGGAGACTGGGCGCCTCTCCCCGAGCCTGGGGCGCCTCGCGGGGCCTGTACTGGTGGGCGGCCAAGAAACTGCCCTCTGCGGTGGGAACCCTGGGTGACCTCAAACTGGCTGCAAGGAGCCGCAGTGACTGGACTGAGGTGCAACCCGTGCTCTCCGCAGCAGCAAGCCTCCCTTTGCTGACAGATGGAGCCTGTTGCACCTGAACTGGCCAGAATGGCAAGTGACGAGGCGCGGCCCTCAGTCCAGGGGGGCGCTGCACTCTGCCGTGGGGTGCAGCGTGTTGCGACGGCTGTTGTCAGCAGCACAGTGCATTCCGACTGTCTTGAAACTGCTTGTGAACTCGGGTGGCCGCGAAGCCCCCACAGAGGGACCTCCAGCCCGGGCCACGTCTGATGTGCTGGAGTCTTCTGGCAAGGTGACATAGCAGGGGAGAGGGGCTCGGAGCCCTCGGGGCAGGGGCCGGGCAGGTACCCCGGTAGTCTTCCACACCACGCCGATGACTGTGGCTCCTCCCTGCCCCGTCCCTGGACGTGGGCTGCCCTGGGCAGGCCCGTGGAGGCCACGCCGAGTCCCCACCCTACCGAACAGCACGGTGGGTCGGTGAACATGTCTGGCTTGTGGGCCAGACACACTGGCGCCACCTGGAAGTGCTCAGTTAAGTCAGCACAGGCCAGCTCAGGCTGCTCGCCGCTGGCGCCTGGCAACCTCTGCGGTGCCGCCCTGGTCCACCGTGAAGGGTCGTGGGGGGCTCCCGGGTATCACGCAGCCGCTGGTCTCAAAGCTCCGGCGCAGGCTCTGCGTGGGCCGCCTGGGGGCGGAGGGAAGCGCGTTGGGGGAGGGCATGCTTGCCCGTCGGGGTTGGAAGGGGTGGTGGGACGCCTTGCCGGAGGCTGGGTAGTGCCACACGGATGGCTTCAGGGCCGCACGCCAGGCTTGCGCGCCCAAGCTGCGTCCCGGACAGCAGCCTTGAGAGGAGCCTTGCGAGTGGCCCAGCGCCAGCTGGCTGAGGCTGGGACAGGCGACCTGGCCGCCGCCCCCGCCGATGCTTGGGCAGGCTCTGTCCTGCGGGGAGCAACCCCGCAAACCCTCCTGCCCACTGTGTCTAGTCCTGTCCTGCTTCAGGACCCTGCCCGCTGCTCCCTACAGCAGGGCTGCAGCCTCCCTCTGCTGTGAAACACCACTCGTGTTCTGCCTGGAGAACCTCACCTCCGCGGTGCACGGCGCCCTCTAGGGAGCCAGAGCGGCACAGCGGGGCGCTTCCCTTGGTGCCCCCTGGGCCCACCTGGGAGCCAGGCTGCCCTCCTTCGCTTCGCTCCTGGAGCTGGGAGTCGCCCAGGCCTCGCTCCTGGAGCTGGGAGTCGCCCAGGCTGCCACCAGCCATGGGCTTGAGACACTGGTGCAGAGGGGCCCCCGAAGTGACGTGGGATTTTCTGGGCTCTCCCGTAGTCTCCCATTGGACTTCACGGCGCGTTTCACGGCCTCCAGCTCACTGGGAAACCCTGAAGTTGGTTCACGGCGTGGTCTTGGCACCCACAGCATGCCGGGAGCTGACTGCCATCACTGGCTTTCATGCGAAGCCAGCTGCCTGGATTCGGCTGCGGTAGACCCCTCGCAGAGCGCCTTTGTCCTGGGGCCTGCTTTAGAGGTGCAGCCTACAGAACCTGCTTGAACAGCTCGGCAGTACTCCCGGGCCTGACAATGCAGAGGTCTGCCGGGTCTTTCTGGGCCGCTTATGGCTGCTCCAGACTCCCCCACAGGGAAGCAAGCCGAGGGCTAAAATAAACCACCTACAGACACTGCTCATCCTTGGTCTTCTGACCACATTAAACAGGAACCGGCCCAAGATGCTCCCCTCCCCCACCTCTTGCTGATGGCCCGGGCTGGGCCGCAGCTAGCCTGCACCTTCCCTGGGATGCCGCCGGCTGGCGAGCCTCCCCCCACGCCCACGCCTGGGTCCCCTGGCCCTTTTCAGCCCCACTTTTAACCTAAGTGTGAACTCAGGACTCGGCCAAGGATAAAACGGCACTAGGAGGGCCAGAGGCTGGAGCCTGGGGTCCACCTTGGGCAGTGAGCAAGGCCGGTCAGTCTCTTGTCTGGGTGGTGACTACCTGGTGTTCCCATAGTGGAGGCAGCCATGCATGGCAGAACTGAGGGGAGCTTGGCGTCTGGGGGACCCCCCCACCAAGGCGGGGCTTTCCGTGTGCTGCTTTGGTGGTTAAAGTCTGGTGGCTTAACCTGTGCTTTGCCCCATCCCTATGTGAGGCCCCATCCCTATGTGAGGCTCTTTCGTCATCGCATGGGTGGCTCCACTGAGGAGCCATCCTGGGCACGTGACCTGAGGTGTGCCGGCAGCCCTCCGCCGTGACCGGCATCTCCACTTGCCCTGGTAGGCACAGCCCCCCGCCCCCATGGGGGGGCCTCAAGGAGTCTGGGCAACTGGGGACCCTTCTGCCTGGGCCTGGTGCCCAGGCTTCCTGGGAACGTGCGTGCGGTGAGAGCACCTTCCAGATGAGGACGGCCAGCTGCCTGCCTGCCTGCCTGGCTCCCGCAGCCGTGGGCTAGCTGAGGATTCCCTTCTGTGACTCTAGCCACGGAACTTGAAGCCACGGGCCTGCTGTCCGTCATGCGGATTTTCTACTCGGGTCTGAACCCGAATGGCCTTGGGGTCCATGTCAGACTGGGTTCCCGAAACTGGTGTGGCTTGTTGCTTGGGGCAAATGGGGCTTGAAAGGCACAAAGTCGCAGTACAACGGAAGCTTCATGCCAGGCTGTCGGGCTCGCCAGGGGTCTCTCGGAGTGTCCTGGGTGCTCAGTCCCCGCTGCAAGCACACAGCTGAGGCCAGGGCCTGCCTGCCTCCGTCTCTGATTCACACGTCTCCCCCTCTTTCCAAGAGTTTTTGGCTTCTCCCTCCAAGTGGGGCGGAGAGCATGGAGCCGCCTCGAGTTGGGAGAGTCCAAGGGAAAGCTGAGGGTCAGCAGAACAGGAGTCCCCAGATCAGAGAGAACGCAAGTGATTCCAGGCTGGCAGCTCTTGTCACTCTGGATGTTTGTCGGTTCCAGTTTGGGGGAGTCAGAGGGGATCCCACGTGAGTGACTCGAGTGTGGGGACTTCCATCAGACTCAGCAGAGCTGCCATCATGTCGATTCGTCCATTCATTGCTCAAATCACTCACTCCAAAGTGTCTGCAGCACGTGCGTGATGTGTGCTCTGGCCCTCTGGTTCCTGCGGCTGACGGAGGCGGGGAGAGAGCAGTGGTCGCCGTGGTCACTGTGGCCGGGCCTGCCTGTGCGAGCAGGTGCGTCTTGTAACACTCGGAGGTGACCAGCAGTGAAGACGGGGCCTGGGGGCCTGGGGACAAGGCGACCACACGCCCTGAGCGTCTCCTCGTGCTGCTGCTCTAGACGGCAGTGCAGTGCGCAAGCAGTGAGGTGCCCCACAGGGAGCCCGAGGGCGGCTGGCGGCCTGTCCGGGCTCGGGTCAGCGGCCTTGGCACAACGGAGGCGCCCACGTGGCTGGGCCGATGCTCTTCTCACTAGGGCTGCTCCGCGAGGCGCTCTCCGGCTCTCCAGAGCACCCGCTGGTCTCAGACATAGCCCCCACTGCAGGTCTCCTGAGTCCATGGGGCTTGACTTCAGGGGATCCCTAAAACCAGGCGGAGGGCCCAGGTCACTCGTCTCAGCCCGGAGCCGTGGGAACAATTTCTGTAGTGCAGAGGGGGGCCTTGGCGGTCAGGCTG